AGAGTATCGTCTAGGATTTCAATAAAAATTAGAAAGTTTTCTTTTTGAGGTGGTCGATAAACATTTATCAAAACTATTTTATTTTTACCAGTAGTAACAGTTATCCCACAGCATTCAAAAATATTTTCCAGAGATTTAGAAGATAAGCTATTTATTTGGTTTACTTTAAGTCTGTTATCCATTAAAGAAAATATTGCCACACCACCACCTAACTTGTCTTTCCTAAAGTATTTGGCTGTTTTACAATAGTTGCCTATTTTAAAAGACCTATTTTTTTCCTGGGTTAGCCATGTTTCTGTTAAGCATAAAATTTGTGGTTTCTCTTCATGCAGTAAAGCTTCAAGCATCTCTACTTTATTAAAAACAGATCTTATATTAAGGTAAATAATATGTACATTGTCAGGCATAGACTCTGATCCCCTATAAAAATTAGAGCCTAATTGGTGTTTTTTGGTAAAACCCCTTGAGCATTAGGTGCGTTAGGCCTAGGCCTATTTTGACTGTTGTAAATCTCAGACCCATTACTTGCCACATGAGAGTTACTTCGTTTAGATGGTAAATATTTATTTATGAGTATTCCCTCTGGCCATTTGTTGCAATCAAGCACTGAGCTATTGTACTGTTGAGGAAAGCCGATTTTAAAGGACTTATAGCTAGGGTACCTTGTTTATAGTTCCTCACAGGTTACAGTATTTCCTTCACAGATGTTTCTTACATACTCCTCTATAGCAACTTTCTTCGTGTCTGTATTAAATCTTGTGGCAAATATCCACGATAATTTCCTAATTGCACCAATACTTCCACTTGTAGATTTAGAAGTACCAATTACAGGCCCAGAGCCTTGTCTGTTATTTCCATTTTTTGATTTCCATCTCCTATTAGTATGAACCTCAAAACCATCACGATCTTTATTTGGAACATTTCCATCACTTGGTTTTAATGATTTAACCATATCTGAATAGCTTTTATTTCCACAATTTCGCTCGTCATTATGGACTTGTCCAATCGTCAATACTTCAATATCTGCATTTTGGCGTAGTGAGGTTATGTCACTATTTTCACTGTCATTTCTATTGCTATTGCCATTAGGAGCAATGTTGTCAAGAGGGGTACTTTGTGATGGCGAAAGGCTGATGACGTCATTACTGCATCTTGAATTTTTCTTATTTTGTACTCTATTTCGTTTGTAATTGTTTTTACCAGCACTATATGAATCTGGCCTAGTTTCATTATTATTTGCATTAATTCTTATATGTCGAGAGGAAACTATCTTCGTTGGTACATCATTAGGATTTTTCTCATCAATGACGTCATTGGTTGGGCACGTCACTGTTCTCGAGCAACTAGACCTATATTGCTTCAATTCTGCAAGTTCACCTTGTAGATCCTTAAAATTTATTTCCATATTTCTTTGATACTCAGACATTTGCTTTTGATTGTCATATAAATTCTTAATAGAATCTGTTAGACCACTTATGTTTGTGTAGCACTCACAGCATACTTATTTTCCTGTCCGGCTTCTCTGGAACTTTTGGTCACACGTCTTGCAAAACCATCTACTAAGATCACCTAGACTTTTTATTTTCTCATAATCATTCTTTGACATGTTAACGCATTTAATATGAAACCATTTATTACAGTATAACTCACAATTTACGCTTAAATCTCCGTCTTTAAACGATTTAATACACAGACCGCACTTTTCATTATCATCCTCCTCCATCCACACTCCACACTCTAAAAGGCGCTCTCTCCTTTCTTTGCGAGGTTATGATGCGCAAAAGATTACTGCGCAACGTAATCTCGGGGTCTCGTATCGCACCTGGGTAATTTTAGCAGACGAGACGTCATACAATGACGTCATATTCACTTCCTGGGCTGGCTGAAGATTGTCAACATTGTACTGGTTCACGTAAACAAACACTCGGCGCTCTCTCCTTTCTTTGCGAGGTTATGATGCGCAAAAGATTACTGCGCAACGTAATCTCGGGGTCTCGTATCGCACCTGGGTAATCATAGCGGACGAGACCTATAGATCTCGTAACGGACCATTGGAATAATGCAGGAAAATATGCAACGGTGAACATGTTAATGTATAATAAGTTAGTAAATGTAGGACAGAAACTTAAGTGCAACCTTGGTCACAGGGGAGTAGCACAAGTCTTAAATTCCTTTCTTTATAAGCTACTACATAAAAAACCGACGGTGCTACAGCTTGGTTGTTTAATGCGTTACTAGGTAGCAATACTAATTAGTCACAGACTATTTAACTTACATACTTGGGAATAACGAATAGAATTTCTAACGAATAGCGATATTAGTTAGTTTTTTCGGCTAACTTCTATTTTATTCGTTAGTTTTTCAAAAGTGCTGGAAATAATTTCTACTCAGTTAGATTTATAGCTAATGAATAGATAATATATTCGATAGTTTTAAATCGTTATATTTTTGGTCAGGCGGAAGTATCTCAAATACGGGTTATTGTTTTTATGTGATCAGTGAGGGTTGCGTGCGGCCGTGAGGGGTCACTGGTCAGCGCCCTTGTTGACAAAAAACGCGGGGGGTGGGAAAGAGAAAGTCAAAGTCCAGTTGCTTTGGTATGCAGTGGGCCCGTGGAAGGGCAGTGACGGCCAATAACAACACCCCAAGCACCGAGGGGTGGGAAGGGTGAATGTTTGTTTGGTGATTATACACTCAAGTTGTTATTAGTGTCAAAACATTGTCCTAGATTTGTTATATGACAGTGACAAGTTTTAAGTCATTTGTTTCTGTTGTAGTTATGTAAAATGTGAGAAATTTTGATTAAAACACAAGTACCAGGGGAGTTATCGGGTTTCTCGAGTTATCGCGCTAATGGACGCATATATAAATATATATATATATTTATATATATATATATTTATATATATATGAATTTGAACGGATGGTATTTTTGGTTTCTAGGGACCTAAAAACGAATAAGTAAATCGGTCCCGGGTCCAGGTCTTACCATGAGTACTACGGTAATAGCTTATTCCCTATAGGGGAAATTTGCTAATATTTCCTATAGGGGAAATTCGCTAATATTCCCTATAGGGGAAATTCGCTAATATTCCCTATAGGGGAAATTCGCTAATATTCCCTATAGGGGAAATTCGCTAATATTCCCTATAGGGGAAATTCGCTAATAATCCCTATAGGGGAAATTCGCTAAAACAGTTCATAGAAACGAACACCATGAAAATACTGTATGGAGATGATTATTTAACATGTTCCACGATCAGAAACAATTGCTTGGTTCATTCCAAGTCATTCAAAGATGCTGATGTCAGCTGAGACTTCCCGAGGACTGTATGTGATTAAAAAAATCATTAGTAGGCCTACCCCCGCGTATGAAAAAGGGGGATGGGGACTTAAATCACAAAAACAGAAGTTTTAGACCATGCATGGAATTGAAACGTGGTGCACAATAAAACCGAATTTCCGACTCTGACGCCTGATTTTTTTTAGCTTTTTGGATAAAACCATCATATCTTAGTACGTTGTGGAATAAGATAAACGAGAATGCACATTTTTATGACAATTATGTAGGGGGATAAAAGAGGACTTTTTTTGCTGAGTGAGTGGGATTTTTGTTTTATTCTGGTGAAAAGACTGAAATAGACCTAGACTTAATAAATTTTACAATTCTTCTCCAATACGGTATCTCAGCTGGACCAGTTTTGTTTTCAACTTTGTTTTGAATGTTTATAAATCACTCTAAAAAATTTGTTTATTAAGTACGAAAGGTTATTCAAAAGTAACACACAAAGAAAAGAATCTGCCTATTTAACATCAGTTTATGAAATCAGCAAAATTCAATTGTGTTTAAATCGTATAAGCGCATCGACCATGCATTTTTTAAACTACCAATGAAAACCACGAATTCTGCATGCATTTTATCATCCCACTATGGTGGCAACCCTGAAAGTGCTTCTTCAGATAATAACACTTGAAACATGTTAGGAATTGTGTACAAACAGTCAGTTAATAAAAACATAAATAACATATGATTAACAATTTAAACATAAAGTAAAGAAGGCAAGGCAGAGTATAATAGCTATTTACATTACAAGTGTAGTAAGAGCGTTTTTACATCACGCAGGTGAATGTTGTGCAACGAGCGAAGGCGAGTTGCATAATTCACCGATGTAAAAACGCTCTTGCGTAACGTGTAACGTACAAGATTTTACCTGACCCGACAATATTCAGGAGGTTACGAGCAATATGCTTCATTATCAATTTCACTCATCTTCTAACAGTAACGTTCATTTACAAACAAAAGCTAGGTTAGGAAAATTCTTCAAAGCATAACAATAAAATTCAAACACACAGCTGATTTCTAGCGTTGAACGTCGTTGGCTCCATAGAGGTATATTTTTTAAGTTATCCACTCAATGTTATTTAAATGGGTTTCATTACATCACCGAGTGAGTTTTTTTCAACTTTACATCACTTGAGAAGTAAGGAAGTTGTATACATCACGCTTGGGATAGGGAAGTTTAACATGGCGGGTTAGGTAAAATATTATAACACTAGCCCTCCTATTTTATAAATTACTGTACTATCGTTTAGTATTTCTTAGGCCTATATTTAAATTATTAACGTTATATTTCCTTGAAAGTGGTCTCCCAACACAATAATTATTATAAAAAATATAAAAGATCTGTAGTATTTTGTGGACTATCAATAATTAATAAGATTTTTGACCAAATTCAAATCATGACTAGGTTTAAACCTAGGCCTATAATTTGAATAAATTTAAATTATATTATAATTTGCTTGCCTTTTATTTGTTCATAATTTATACATGTATGCACTTGTATTTTTCAATCCATGTAGAATAGTATTTTAACAAACATAACCTTATTACCATTCACAGTGCCTGTTTAAATTTAAATTCATAATTTTTAATATTTGACGAATTTCAACAGCTTTGGTACATTTAATAGCAAATTTGTTTATCATCTGTTTGATTGCAGGTGGCTTCACAACTGCTCTACCACCACAAACGGCCCCTCCTAAAACAACCAACTATGCGACAGCCTTGTTAGGAGAAGAAGAATGTCTTGATGGGCCATCCTTCTGGTGCCAAAATTTCACGTAAGATTTGTCAACTAAAACAGTTAAAGAATTCTCTGGAGACATAGATAATGCTTCATCATTAGTGTGAGAGTGAGGTGAAAGCATGAAAAAAACCTTTACCAAAAGCATGAAAAAAACCTTTACCAAGACCAATGGTGTGTGTCTGTGTTATCTCCAGTGTTGTCGCATATGGTAGTTACCAACCTATCCTGTACTTACTAGTGAACCCGCAATCTCAAAAGTAAAAAATTATCTCGTTATTGGTTCAAATAAATTATGTTTGTGTAATACATATTTACATGAAGAAAATGATCTGTTTCATTTATAAATAAACTAGCTGTGTGCCCGTTCTACGTACGGGGATATTTTATTAAGTTGAAACCTTCTTATATTCAAAACAGGAGTTGGTTTGCATATTTAGTGTACACTTTGTGACGCTTAGCGCCACTATTTTATATAGTGCCACACAACTAAATCACTGGCCTTGCGATCGGCGCGCCTCCTTCGGTCTGCCGCTTGCCTTTTTTCGAGAAACGTCAAGGAGCTACAAAATCGATTTTTCCTCCGTCTTGTCTCTTGCCGCCTACCGTTGGAAAACCTGCCGATCGCCCCCTTGTCATGTCTCCATGTCCTTCAAAAATCAGGATAAGTCGTTAATTATTAAGTTGTGTTAGGATTAAGATGACAGGCTAGTTTAATTATTTAAGGGGAAGCCGGCAGGCTTTCGCCCCATTCGCAGAAATGTAAATTCCAAATTATATGATTACCTCGCTTAACGAGGTAATCATTCCTAGACATGCAATAGTCACCACGTGAAGGTTCAAGTATTAATTCATTCAGGAATCGCCTTATGAGTCCAAATTGGTTCAGTAACGAGTTAGGGAACGAAATTTACCTGTTTTATCATCATTTCCATTTTACACTAATTAGCAGTTTAGTTTGGAAGGTTAGCTATAGTTCTGTTTAATAGTTAAAAATAAGTAATCAAAGCTGGCTTGGCCTGCTTCTGGTCTGGGTAAAGATTTCTGCCCTCTGGTTCCCCAACAACGTTTCCAATCAAATTGTCATTTTAAGATGGTAGTAGAGTACAGCACTTTCTTAATTGCAACATGCTAGGGTCCTCCAGGCCCTAGGACCCACAACAGTCAATTACCAACACATTTAACTTAATTACAATCGATACATCACATCACCACAGAATCAATAATCAGTTTACATCAATTATCTCTCCAAAGGGCCACAACTTTTCCAGATATGCTGGCAAAACTATTACTGTGTAGGAATACATATAAACCTTTGCAAATATATTATCTGGCATTTTTTTAAAACGTAAAAAGTTATTATAGAATCGGAGATAACGGCTACACCCAATAAACGCATTAACACCATACCATTTTAAAAGACATATTTATTGTTATAAATATTTTTATTTAAAAAAATTATTAGATATATATATTACATTAATTTATTACTTTCAGTTATTGCAGCAAGTTTAATAGAAGGCGGACGTACTCTTCATAATCAGTTTAAACTACCTATACCTATTTTGGAAAATTCTGTGTCCGTTGTCACTCCAAACTCTCCACATGGCCGATACTTAAACTCAGCTAAACTTATTATAATAGATGAGATCAGCATGACGCCATCTAATGCTATTACAGTACTGTAATTGATAGGTAGGCTTTTTTAAGATTTGTCATCGGATCCAAATGTTAAGCAATTACCATTTGCAGGAAAAGTAGTATTATTCTCAGTAGTCAGGTTGGGTAGCAGGAAAATATTTCAGTTCTGGCAGAGAGGCTGCAATTTTAGGTGGTTATAGTATACAAGTTTCTGAACCTAAAACCGCCCAGACCCCAATTTTTAAGGACCTCGGTCGTCCGTAATGACGTCATCAAAATGGCGGCCGTAAGAGGTTGCTGGGTCCCCATAAATTGGCTATAACAACCGAATGCCTGAACCGATTTTCATGAAATTTTGCACACAAGTGCTTGAATACATTATCTCGGCCTGGGTTGAAAATGGTAAAGTTTCATCAAGTCATTTCAAAATGGCGGCCATTCAAATATAAAAAAATTATGAGGAAAATAATTGTGAATTGTTTTATACAGGATGAGTTTTAAATGAGTTCCCCCCTACTTTTTTATACATTTCTTAAGATATCAACTCCGAACCACGTCAGATAATTGTAGAGTAGCGATTACTTCATTTCGACTAGTTTTATTTTATCCGTTTTTTGTTATCAAGCTTTCTTGATAAAATATAACAATTATTTTGATTTAAAATGTCAATATTTCAAAAACCAAACATGACTATGAAAAACGTATTGCGGCATTGAATTCAACATAAAAAAGTAGTTCAAAATGATGGGTCACATAAAATGATACCCCCTTCATATTTAAAATAATTTATCACATTTCAAAATGGCGGATCCAAGATGGCGGCTGAAAAAAATACATCTGTCATAACCGAGTGAAAATAGGTCAACAATGAATGGTGGTGTCCACTTATCTTTATCTAGCACTATTTTGAGATTATGGCCTTAGTTTGTAAATGCACAATGTTATAATGGACTAAAAATAAAGTTATAAAAAGTTCTCATAACTTTAGAATGGATCAACATTTTTTTAAACGGATTGCAGCATCGTATTCAGCGTAAAGGTTTTGTTTGAAACGGTGGGTCACAACCCTATCTTTACATTTGAAAAAATAACTTCTTATCCAAAATGGCAGATCCAAGATGGCGGCCAAAAATGTAAACCCAGTCAAAATGAAGTACTTGCTACTCTTCAATGATCTGACATGGTTCAAAGTTGATATCTTAAGAAATGTATAAAAAAGTAGGGGGGGAACTCTTTTAAAACTCACCCTGTATAAAACAATTCACAATTATTTTCCTCATAATTTTTTTTTAGTTTTGAACAGCCGCCATTTTGAAATGACTTGATGAAACTTGACCATTTTCAACCCAGGCCGAGATAATGTATTGAAGCACTTGTGTGCCAAATTTCATGAAAATCGGTTCAGGCATTCGGTCGTTATAGCCAATTCATGGGGACCCAGCATCCTCTTACGGCCGCCATTTTGATGACGTCATTACGGACGACCGAGGTCCTTAAAAATTGGGTCTGGGCGGTTTTAGGTTCAGAAACTTGTATACTATAACCACCTAAAATTGCAGCCTCTCTGCCAGAACTGAAATATTCTGCCACTATATGCAGCTATACAGGGGATGTATATGCCACTACAGGGGATTTTCGACAAACTTTACCTGTGGTACCTCATGCAGGACGTACTGTCATAGTTGAGAATTGTCTAAAAAATAACCCACTGTGGCCTTGAGTCATTAAAAATAAAATAATTATTAAAAGGGTACTTTGTTAACTATGTTTTTGGTTTTAGCGAATTTCCCCTATAGGGAATAAGCTATTACCGTAGTAGTCATGGTAAGACCTGGACCCGGGACCGATTTACTTATTCGTTTTGAGGTCCCTAGAGACAAAAAAAACCATCAAACCATGAATGAATGAATGAATATCTATCTATATATTAATAGGCAAGCATGTTTCTTTAAAACCTTTTTTCTCAGCTCGTGTGCATCGTAGGGAAAATCTACGCATACCGTTGGAAAGCTATTTTCCTGTAGGTGTGCAGAATCCCTTTATAAATTTAAATAGGCTCAAAGATAAGCACAAAAAATAAGTTTAAAAGTTGTAAAAAAATAACATGGATCTTATGCGTTGCTATGCTGGTTACGAAATAACAACGAAATATAAACAGAAAATCAAAACAAATGGAGGAAACTCCAATCACATGTTTTATTTACAGTGTGGGGTGAAAATAGTTAAGTGAGTACATTACATATTTTTGGTCGAGTTTCGACCACTGGACGACCTCTCGTCTATATATTAATAGGCAAGCATGTTTCTTTAAAACCTTTTTTCTCAGCTCGTGTGCATCGCAGGGAAAATCTACGCATACTGTTAGAAAGATATTTGCCTGTAGATGTGCAGAATCCCTCTATAAATTAAAATAGGCTAAAAAATAAGCACAAAAAACGAATTTGAAAACTTCAAAAAATTAACATGGACCAACTGGGTTGCCATGATGGTGACGAAATAACAACAAAATGTAAACAGAAAATCAAAACAAATGGAAGAAATCCCAATCACATGTTTTATTTACAGTGTGGGGAGAAAATAGAGAAGTCTGTACATTAATTATTTTTGGTCGAGTTTCGACCACAGGACGACCACTAGTATAGTTTATTCCAAAAAAACATTGGCTACAAACAGTGATTATAAAAACAAATATACTTAACAGAGACTTATGACACTAAAAATAGTAAAATACATACAAGTTTTAATGAGCCAAAATATTCAACAATAGACAAATGGAACTAGCAGACATAGGCAGTGCTACCTGTGCGTCTGCTAAGTTGCTGTCAAATAGAAAAAAGTAAATTAATGAATTTGTGGAATGGCAATTAAAAATAAAAGGGTTGTTATTATTAGTGATGTATGTAAACGTATTTTCATGAACACAGCGCTGGTGAGTCTGCGCATTAGATTTCGTGGTGGCCAGGAGAGAGAGAGAGAGAGAGAGACAGACTGTGTGTGTGTGTGTGTGTTTGTGTGAGTTCCGTGTGTAATGGTGGTAGTGAGGAGAGTGGAGAGTGGAGAGTGATGAGTGGATTGTTGAGTATGAGTGGTGTAGAGAGTAGTAATTCGACTGCGGACAGTCCTAACAAAGTGCCAAGGTCAGTCAGTGCAAAGGTCGGATCAGGTGCGCCAGTGGTCCGCCGTGATAATAGAATCGGCCTCGTCAATATTTAAACTGAATAGGAAATCATTGATGCGGAATTTAAATACCTTTAAAGAGTCACATTCAAAAAATTTGAAATCCTTAAAAATGTTACATATGTTACGATAGACTAAGTGTGAAACATAGTATGAATTAGTCGTAGAAAAAGTATAATTCACTTGAATTGTGGTGATTCCAACTCTAGAAGAATATCT